CACTAGTGTTGTTTTTCTTTTATCTTCATTCACTACGGATGATTACAGTATGTTTCTCTATCAGTTGCTCATTCAGTAAATATCTCAAAACCTTGTCAGTCTAATTGGAGGTTTAGCGACACAATAATGCATGCAAATAATCAGTATAAGCAGTCGAGCAAATCTCCTGCAAACTGAAAACATCAATGTCGAATTTACCCCAACACTGACTAAGGTTCAAGCCATTATCATAGACGTGAGTTGGGAGTGTACTCCCCTTGGTTACAACTTGTGTTCTTCCTGATAATCACATGAGCATCACTCACTGTTAATCATCTTGTAAAAGCTTATTTAGCCGAATACATCCTGCGGCACCACATCACTTCGTAATATGACACAGGCCTAACTGATTTTAATAACCTATAACCACTATATCTCAATTTAATCTTATTCCGCCTTATGATAAACTGCATACTTGCAACTAACTTGTATGCCCAATCAGCCGGCAAGTATAAATATAAATAAAGTCTATCGCAGATCAGAACATTGAGTCTAGAGCATGTCTCTTACGAACACACTCATGTTTAACGATTTTTCCTAGCTATCTGTCCAAAATCCATATAATTATTACTCATGTATTTAAATTTTATTTTGATAACCATTCATGTGTATTAGTAGTATTACTAAATTCTATCACGGTCAAGTAAAGATGAGGTTGAGAAAATCTCCCCGTAACTAAATAAACCGTATCAAACTAACTGGAACACTAGTTGGAATTATTCTCCACGTTATAACTTTTGTTCCTTCAGTTAACCTACTAATATAAATGCAATTGGAATTCAACTCATATGGACAACTTACCGGTATAATCGTTATCTGATTTCATAATTTGAACCAAAACTAATACCAATATTAACATTTCTACAATATTCATTATTTTAATATTTCTAAACACAAAATACTTACTACCTATACGTCAAGTTATTAACCAACGGCTATTAACACGCATTGTTTTATTATTATTATTGTAATCCCATTTTTTTATAGCTCAAATAATCTTCACCCAAATTTTCATTTTAAGCGTGTTAAGCATGAAGGCAGATTTTTAAAAATTATTACATGTATTTCCCGACCAGATGCTGCCGCCTTCTTTTTGAATTATCTTTCAGCTTATCATTACCCGGGGGATTCTTCCTAGTCTTGGTAACCTTCGGCGCACGACGATCCCATCCAATTTGGTATCGAACCAACATCACGTTGATTCTGGTGGGAGAGTAGTGTAGTGGCATTGGACAATAGCCACACAATCCACAAAGCTGTGAACACGAGACTACTCAGAAAATAGATATTCAATATTTAACGCGGAGAAATACCTAACAATGAAGAAGGCGCGAACAATGAATTTAATGGACTGGAGTTGATCGAGTGGCATGGCTCGGCCATGCAGGCGTGGTCTCTATTCATATTAAATATATTGTTCCTTCTCTAAACTAACCTTGTTCTTCATCATGTATTGGTAATTGATACGATACAGTGAGTTGGCGTAGTCGATGGTGTGACTTCCACGTAAGATCTTATAGATTAGGCAGTTATATCATGACGAATCTACAAATTTAGGATTAGGTCTATTATTAGAGCAGTACTAATATCGTAGTAGATCATAATTCTACACATACAATGTTCATGCATATTTAAATTAAACCATTTGTGACGAAATGGTGAGGATATGACTACTTAGTTTAATTTGCTATTATTAAGGTGCTTTTAAGCAAGTGAATTCTAACGGATTGGAGAGAACAAGCGAAAATATCGTATGAATGGACGAAGAACTGCAAAAATACCAATAGTTTGAAAAGAAGCTGAAAGTATGGGACTATGTAGAGTTTTAAAATACAGTATTGAATGCAGTATTCCAATACACAAATGACTATCTCCCTGTTTTTAAAGCTATTTCAGCTCATTTTTATTTTATTGATTTTATAGGGTCATGAGGAGGCTTCTTTTTCGGCAAATTGTCTAGTTTTGCTTGTTATAGGATCACTCGTTACGAAGTAAAACCAGTAGTGGAGGCTATAACGGCAGCTTCCTGATAACAGCAATGGAGCATGTATTGTTGCAGAATATATCCAAACCCACACGTCTTGGTGCAAACCAATGTACTTCTTTGTTAGACTTAATAATCACTTATGCCACAGAGGATATTGACGACCTAAATATTCTTCCACCGTTAGCGAATAGCTAACACGCTGTTTTGTCATATACGTTAAGAGCTAGTGGTTTTATATACGACCAGGTTAATCCTCGCCTAAATGTATAGTGAGCTAACATATCAGCCATTCAGGAGTGTGCTGCTAAGACAGATTGGTCAGTAGGTACTTGATCATCAGTTGAAGAAGCATTGTCCATACTTAAAGTCAGGTTCAACTCAGTGACGTCCTCGTTTATACCATGCCTAGTGCCACGTAGACCGAATAACTGTCCACTATAAATAACCAAACAATTCAAGAAACTTGTTAGACGTAGGAAAAAGCATTGGAATATATCCATCTCCATTGGCTTAGAGCAGCAGAAAACCATTATTGACTGAGAATGCCAGTCAACTATTAATTAGTAAAACTGGACGGTCGTATGAAAAACAAATTTCTAGGGATCGTAAATATCGTCCGAAATGGTTATTCTCGTGTGTAAAAAGGTAAACTCAGAGAAGTGATGGAATTCCATCACTTGTGATACAACAATCTTTGTATGGTAAACCCCGGAGTTCGGAAATTTCACGGGTAGCTGCCACGTGTGCCTTTTCTAGGATATTCCAGTTACCTTTTAAACAGAGGCTTGCAACCTGAACGTAGTAATAGAGCTTAGTTCTCACATTGGTTGTGTATACTGTAGTGAACATGGTGGTATCTAACTTAGTGAATGTCCATCTTAAAGCCCAGAGGGTTCTAAACCCCTTAACCGAGACTTACTGGCAATGAGCTCTAATCTTAAGATCATGACTTACTGTTACCCCAAGATCCTCGTGAAAGCGGACCACGGGTACAGACACTTCCCGTATGCGGCACCTATTAACCTTTGTATCCCAATGTGCATGCAGACACATTTTGCCTCGTTGATGAACATCAGATTGGACTTTCACAGAGCTAAAAACTGCAAGGATTAACATAGGTCGATAGAACTCCTATCCTAATTACTGAGAACTAATGGCTGAAGAAAATTGTCCTCTATACCTTCAAAAATCATGGACTCCCCGATATGCGATGGTATACATGAACATTTACTGTCCTTAAATTTCTTCTCACCCCAACAGCATGGTTTCAGGAAGGGTTACTATGATGATTAGGAGTATTTGAATTTTATTATGAAGTAAGAATCCCAAAAATAACGCAATTAGATCAAGAAGTACTAGATAAGCACGAACAAATGTACCGTATTTGGAATTCGAAATCAAGCATTCAACAAGTACAAAGTAATCATTATTTCGTTCAAACGCCACAGGTAATCTTGTATAACCAACATGCTGACTGCGATGGACAGATGGACAAGCATCCTCGATCGCACGGGAAAGGTTGATATCGTTTACTTTGATTTCCCAAAAGCTTTTGATAAGGTTAACCATATACGTCTCATCAATAAGCTCAAACGATTGGGTATCAGATCACCTCTAATTGATTGGCCTACTTCACACCTGAAAAATCGATATTTTAGTGACAGAATCAACACCACTTTATCTCAGGCTATGGAATGTCATAGCGGAGTCCCTCAGGGCTCAGTACTAGGGCCTCTTCTCTTCTTGATTTACATAAATGATCTTACACAGCAGGTATCGTCAGACTTATTACTTTTTGCCGACGACGTGAAACTTTGGAGAGAGATACGCAACCAAGACGATATACAGGCACTTCAGGAGGATCTGACGCGACTTCAAAGTTGGGCAGACGATAACGGACTTACCTTTAACACTTCAAAGTGTAAAGTAGTCCATCTGCGACATGCCGCAAACTACAGTTACAACTTAGGAAACTCCTCTCTAGTAGTATCCCAAGTCGAAAAAGATTTAGGAGTCCTGGTGCCCTACGATTTAAAGTCTTACGCTAACTGTGACAAAAATGCCTTCAGAGCAAACCTTGCACTGGTAACATTGAAGCGCATTTTTGGACAGTTTGATGGACGAACTTTCCATACAATCTTCAGCAGTTTTGTCCGTTCCCATTTAGAGTACGGAAACATAGTACTCCCCCCTCACTCCAAAAGGACAAGGTCACTTTGGAGCGTATCCAACGGCGAGCCACGAAATCAGTTCGAGGACTCAAATCTAAACCATACGAAGAACGCCTCCATTCACTAGACCTTTACTCATTAGAGTATAGACGTCTTAGAGGTGATTTATTAATGGCTTTTAGTATTCTTAACACTTCTGGACATCCTCTTAAACACTTACTTAAGCTTAGTTCAAATAATAACCTAAGAGGTAACACCCAGAAACTGGAAACACAACATAGCAAGATGGAATGTAGACACAACTTCTACTCCTTAAGAGTTGTCAAAAGCTGAAATTCGCTGCCGGCCGAGCTAGTCCAAGTGACTTCTCAGGAGTCCTTCAAGAGGCAACTTGACCTATTCTTAAGGACCAAGGTCAGCATCACACTATGATTTATCAATTTCTTTTCCTCTTTTATTGTTAAGATACCTAGGTTCCTGCCTGGAGGATTTGGTGATCCCCTGCTACTAGACACGGAAGCCTGTTAAGCGAAAGCTTCTTCTATTCCGTCCACAACCATTTGAACCATTTGAAGGTGCTGAGGGAGACTACTCTAGGTTCTATCTCTTGATAACTCCTATATTTTATCACTGTTTTTATCCTACTAGAATCACGACTTTCAGTGACACAAGGATCACTTATATAACACAGACGGACGTAATAAATGATTGCAGTTTTCCAGCTCTTGGAATCAAAGTATGAGAGTTTGAGTGTTTGAAGCTTGAGGTTGAAATGTTGTCCTTGAATTTGAAAGGCTGCTCACTACTCTAGCGGGTTTTTGAATGGGTTGGTTTTGAGCTTTGGTTGGTATATCATATTGGACCTTCCACACAGTTTATTGGCAACTCATTTTGCAGAAGTGTTTGACAGTGTGGTTGAGAAAAATTAATCAGTCTGTGTTAATTCTATCACGATACTAGACATCAATACTTTTCTTAGATTACTAGACATCAAGGGTAGGATTTAATGTAAAAAGGACAGAGCAAAAAGAACAAAGTTTGAAAGGTGGATAACTAGGAGTCGACTGGGACCCAAGTCGGTCACTTTGCCTGTCCTTACAAGTTCATTTATTTCAGGAAGGCGACTGCTATAGCAGCCGATATAAATAAACATGAACAAACGCGTAATATTAAAGCTGAGTATGATGTTTACCTGTAAAGAACGTGTTAATGTGCTTGTGGAGTTGTTGGTGCATTCACTTCTGAGTAGTTCTACTAAATGCTTGTGTAATTTACAGATATAGATACATATATATGCTTATATGCATTTGTTGTATCTGATGTCTTGTCTTGGCAATTAGTTCGCGGTTTATAATGGTTGATAGCTTAGGTAAAAGTTGTGCGATCCAAGTCAGAGCTTCCGAATTGTTTATTTCGCATGTTTTTCAGACCCTATTATTTCTGGGTCCTATCTTTATTTACTGTTTATCGAGTTAATTAATTTATGTGCTTTGCATCCTCACGTGTCACCTGTGAATGAAATAAGTTAGTGGTCGCTGTATAGTGTTTCTGATTTTTCGATGCTACGTCCTTATGACATTACGTTTCGTTTCTGCTACACAGGTTGAGTAGCTATATACCCTATAACTTCGTCTCTGTTCTTAATGATGAAACATCGGTATGTGGGTATGTGGTGTGTCTTTATGCATTATTCTCTTTTCATTTCACCACCTCTCATACAAGTCACTTTCTTAATTTTCCGGTGGGTAATTAGTGCTCACTAGTGGAATTCTCATTTCAATCTCTTACCAAGTCTTCCGCAACCATTATGGTGGTTGAAATTGTGCAATAATGGTTTGTTAAAACTGTTCCGAAGCCAATTATTTGGTCGGTACATAATAGTTATGCTGTTTATTTCAGATTGTGCAATTGACAAGTGAGTACTATGAAAACCATGAAGATGTAGTTGTCACAGTGTTATGGGAACACCAAGTAATTAGATAAGCGGAGTTAATTGACAAATTCGTTTATTTTACGCTTAGTTGTAGTAGATATTTAAAACAGAAAAGTAGCACAATGAAGTCAATCTTAGAAATGTATTCACACACGGATGATAGCCTACGAATATATACAGTCTGTTCAGTTATCTGTATAAAAGCAGTAGAACTTAAGCCGTAAAAATGTTAGTTATAACCACCCAATTTGAAAGCTGCATCATAGCCCCAGTAGGGTTCAAAGATTTCCTGCACGTTCAGTCATTTTGGTGGCTTAGAGTATCAATTCTAGACTTCTTGAAGATGTTCTGTCGTAAGTAATGATTTTTAAACACAATACACAGTACTGAGAAATAATTTAAAATTTGACACATTTTTTCAACTAGATCAGATCAACTCAGCATATGTTTCCAGTGTACGAATTTATTTCAACGAATATTCATATCTTTAAATTTACTGCCTGCAGAAGTGTTGATAATATCTATTATAAATTAGCTAAGTGTACTACTAAAAAGACCAATGCATATTTTCCGTTTTCTGGTCGTTGAAAATTTAAAGAATATGATTGGAGTCAAGTCCTACACTATTTCAGCTTCTTATTTGTTCTTGATCTTAGCTTCAGCTGGAAAATGTTAAGCTCCTGAATCTGTTTTGTATTTATCTAACTTGGGATGCCGGGTAACCTTGGGAACTTTGAGGTGATAGAGCTGTCAATGTTGAAGAAACATATGTTTTTTCCTCTTTCTGGTTTGGGGAATTTTACTGCTCAGACTTTATTATATCCATTCGTCTTGCTTCGTACAAGACTCCAACTTCAGGAAGGTGCCCAGGTTTATCGTGGTCTTGTACATGCAATTTCTTCTGTTGTCAAAGAAGAGGGTTTTCGAGGATTGTATAGTGGCTACTTGGTCCGATCATTTCACATATTCTCAGGTGGGCTGCTTCTTTCTGTTGTGTAGGCTTTAGTTCTGGTGCCGAAAATCACTAGAACGGCCTTTTACATACTTAGGTGGCTGTTTTACCTTTTTAATTTTTTTAAAATAAGCACTTAAACAATCTCAACTTTTAATTATATCCTTGTTAAATAATGTATTCGTCATGAACGTTAATAAGCATTACATACATCATATTTTGGAGACGATTAACGTCATCAACTTGTCTTGAGAGAAGTCCGTCGCAGCAAGATATAATTCCATCTTCCTAAATATATAAATATCCGATAAAAAATAGTGTTTTAAAAGTTTCTTATCAGTTGTAGGAGTTTACTTTAGTCAGCCAGTCAGTCATAATCAACATAGAACGTATCACAAATGTGTATTGGTTGTTATAGTAAAAAGGTTAGGCGCCGAGAATAGGATTTGAGAATAGTGAACAAATGTGCGGAATGAAAGGTTAAAGATAATTTCGAAGCTCGGGGTCTAGGTGTAGACAAAGAATGAATGATTCTGTTTCGTTGCTACTGATTTTAAGTAATATATAGCACATTCAACAGTTAGTCACAATAATCGCACGAGGCTCAACCAGATAATTTGCGCTTAATAACATGGCTCAGACCAACAGTCAATAACTTCCTTCCATATCTTTGTTTAGCTGCCTCTTATTTATTTATTTGTTTATTTGAACACATAAACATAGGTACAAGAGGTCACCGAGCATATATGCGCCACATAATAACAATAAGGCCAGTAGTAGTTGTTATTGGTTTGTGTGAGGGCTATGATACTATCTGGGTGCCCAAACCGAGGCAGGTGGTTTTTTTAGGGAGCCACACCCATAGCCTTTGACATAGAGGTCTAATTCACAAGGCGGTGGGGCGACGATAATAGATGCAGTCCTATGGTAACCGGTGGCCAACAATAAGTTCATACGCTACTTATTACTTCAGGATCCTGAAACCCATGTGCACCATTGGTTTAGAACCAAGGTTTTCCAACTCTTCTAGATGGACCCTCTGTGTCCGCCAACCCTGTTAAAACGCCGGACATTCGCTTTTCGTCCTCTAAATTTCGTAAATAACACCCTGAACACAGGAAGGTAATGAGTAAGACTTCCATATCAGTGGCTGTATAAGCGTGGCCATATGAGAGCATTTGGAGACGAAGAGTGAACACTCTCCACCCTCGACTAACACTCACTAACATGCATTCATGAGCCATCAAAGACCCTATTTTCGAAATTCCCAACTTGGTGAATTGGAATAAGACGTTATTTCTCAAATAATTAATTAAAACTCAGTGCATTAAGTGGTCCTCCACAATAAACAAATTAGCCTATTTTTTAAGACCTCTTATATACATTGGTTTTAGGACCCTTCATGGTCATTTAGCTATGCAGAATTTGCGGTAAGGAATTTTTTTAATTTGGTGTGGGTTGGTTTAAGACAAATTCATCTATGTTTTTATCTCATGTTTACTGTCTTATCAGCACTGAACGTTATGGCTACGTCATTTTTCTTTCGGGATTTAGTTGAAAAATGTTATAATTTACCCAAGTTTTCTCATATTTCCTCCCTCAGTCAGTCATACGCCACTTATAACCTAACATGTATGTGTATCGGTTCAAGTTGCCATAACAGCAGGATGAGATAAAGTTATCAAGACAAATCTCAGAGTAGTAAAATTAGTAGTAGTCGTAGTCAGTCAGTCAGTAACAACGTAGAACTTCGCACGTACGTACATCAGTTCGAGTTGCCATAACACATTAGCAGAGAGATGCAGTTGTCGACTCAAATCCCATAGTGGTAGAGGTAGTAAGAGTATAAGCAGTAATCGGAAAGATTAGGGTTTGAAGATGTTATTCAAGGAATATAATACAGCGAAATAAATTTGAAAAGAGGGAAAGAGAAACACAGAGTATTCAGAAGACTATAATTTGGGAAAACAAAGAGTGGATGCACCTACGCGATTGCAAACGATTTTGGGCAATGTCATTCAGGGTCTCTAACCATCGGTTGCTATCATCTCGCAGTCCCCAACCAGATAGTCTACACCTAACAACATGGCTCAGTCCACTTGTCAGTGACTTCATGGATTTGTGCCATGTTTCGGTCTGGCCACCCCTAGCTTTCCTCCAACCTACTCCTACACCATAAAACATCGCACTACTTCATCAATGGATTTACCATCCTTACCTAGTACCCGTTTCCTAACAACTACATTACTTACTCGCCGGTCCCAGGATATACGAGCAATGTTTCGAAGACACCTATGATTGAATACTAGTAACCTACGAATATCCTCTACTCATACCGGCCATGTTTCACCGTCATTAAGTAGTATAGGACGAACTTCTGCACAGTAAACACATCCTTTTTTGGTAGACGGATACCTCGCCTACGCCATAAATGACTCAAGTTGGCAAAAGCTAGTCGAACTTTCTGTATCCGTGCTGAGATTTCGTCACACACCAGACCACAAGGGCTGATGAGACTTCCAAGATAAGTGAAGCGGTCGACACTCTCAATTACTCCACTCCCTATCATTAGTTTTGGTGTCGATGCAACCCAATCCTGAAGCAACATTTTGCATTTCGAGGGGGAGAATCGCATGCCGAACATGCTAGGATTGTTGCTTAGAGTGGTCAGAAGACTGGATTTTGTCAGCGTCTTCACCAAATAAAACTATGTCATCAGCATATTCTAAGTCAGCAAGTGAATCTCCCGGTAAAAGTTCAACCCCTGGAAATCTAGATGAGGGAACTGTCATCTCTAAAAGCACGTCAAAAACAAAGTTGAACAAGAATGGAGAGAGTGGACAGCCCTGACGAACACCACTTGATGTAATCAATTCTGATGACAATTCGCCATAAGTTCTCACTCGACCAGTTGTGTTCGAGTAGAGAGCCTTTACAAGGTTAATGTACTTCTTTGGTACTCCTTTCAATGACAAACATTGCCACAGAACCTCACGATCAACAGAGTCGAATGCCGCCTTAAGGTTGAGAAATACTACCATTGTGGGGCGTCCGAATGTGTGTCTGTGTTCTAGAACCTGACGTAGTGTGAATATCTGATCTATACAACCACGTCCAGGTCGAAAACCGGCCTGGTTTTCTCTAATCTGCTCTTCACGAGCTTTGATTAGGCGTCAAAGTATTATTGAAGCTAATATTTTAAACACTATATTGGTCAAACTGATTCCTCTGTGATTGTCACAAGAGGACTTTTGTCCTTTCTTATATACTGGCACAATCAGTGATTGAGACCAGTCAGATGGGATTACGTCCAGTTCCCAAATTCTACCTAAAACCTCGGTTAATCTCATTGCTAATACTGGACCACCATCCTTAAAAATCTCAGTAGCAAACCTGTCAGGGCCTGCTGCTCTCCCTCGTTTCAGATTTCCTATGGCTTTTTCAACTTCGTAAAGAGACGGAGGACCTACATTAACTTGCCATTCAGGTCGACTAGAGATCGTGATAAACCGAAGTGTGGCTGAAGGCCAGTTGAACTGATCCCTAAAGTGTTCTGCCTATCGATCCAATCTCCTGGATTGAGAATGTATAATATGTTCGTCTTTCTCTGAGATTGTTTCGCTAACAGTCGGGTTCCTAATACCAGTTTCCTTAACAAGTCTGAACAATTGTCTGCTGTTACCTATTGCCGCTGCCTTTTCCATCTCTCTCGCTTTCGCTACCCACCACTTCACAATCATTGCGTAGACTTCTTGTCAGCTTGAGCTTAAGCTGACTCCCTCTTCATTATGTTCAGAGCCAGATGGAATGAGTAGTCGTTGCTGAAAAGACGGTATTGAAAAAGTGGTTTTACCTCTGATATTAGGTCGTGGGAGTATTCAAAGTATTGTGTGACGGATCTTCGTTTTTTAAAATTAGTTTTTAAATTAATTTCTATTCTTAACTAGGTACTATCTACGTTTCCACATATGAAGTAGCCAGACAAGCATGTACAGTCTTTCCAGCACTAAGTCCTGTTCATCGATCTTTTGTTGGTGGTGCAGTGGCTTCATGTATTGCTCAAGGTTTTTTCGTTCCGATTGATGTTGTGTCTCAACACTTAATGGTTGTGAATTGTAATCGTGTTCATGCAAATATGGTCAACAAAAATTCAAATATATCATTTAACCCACACCGTTTCCGTCCATTAACTCCGGTTCATTTAACACAAAATGAAATGAATTCCAATTGGGGTCGTCTTTGTGGCGTAATTCGTTATATTAAACAGACTCACGGGTTAAAAGGTTTCTACAAAGGTTGTTTAATATCTATGTGCACTTTTGTACCTAGTTCGGCATTGTGGTGGTCTTTTTATGATAAATTTTGTAGTAAGTTGTTTAAAGTTGTTATTCTAACCATTATTATTATGCATAATTGGTCGATAGTAGCTCCTGTACTGGCTCGATAATAGTGCTCGCTTATCTTGACAACCCAGTTGACCTTTATTACCTGTATCATATATTCTCTATGAACCTACTATACTAACCATGTTTACCGGAAATTGGTAAGGCCTGATGAGACATATAATAAAAACAGTAGTCAGTGCGCCGATGCATATATGTTCCTGGTCCTACGTTGTAGCTGACTGACTGACTCAGTGCGTCTATTTTCTTCATTCCCAGAGGTTAGACTAAGTGTTAACACAGATGAATTGTGGAATAACGGAAAGGGGAAACATATTTGAAATATGACTACATTGTCGTCTAGGTTGTTCAAAAGGTTGTGTTTTGTCGTATTTAATTCAGTGTTATCCTGGTTTGTTTGGGGGATGTCAAAGTAGGAATCTTACCCTTGAAAAGTAAACTACGAAATTATCATTTCTAGAAGTGTATTTGATTAAGTTGGATAACATCAGAAAAGTGGAAAGCCCTGACAACAACCACTTGATGTAACCAATTATAACTAAGTTCACCATAGGCTGCGGTGCAACCAATGATTTTCAGCAGAAAATCCTTCATAAGTTAACGTACTTCTTTAGTCCGTTTTTTAACTACGGATGTCTCCATAAAACCTGTTGACCAACAGAGTCAAGGGCAACTTTAAAGTCAAGAGCTATAAATATTGTCAGGTGCCGGCAGGTATATTCATATTCCAAAACCTGAAGAGGGGTGAATACTTGATCGACACACCCAGATGTGAAACCTGTTTAGTTTTCTCAAAGTCTCTGTTCCCGAGCTCTTAAATTCTTAAATACTTAAGAACTAATCCTAAGGAACTCTGAATATTATAAAAAGTGTAAAAAACTGGTAAAGTTTAACCCCACAAACATTTGACGTATATGTGTTTAAAATATACCATATACTACCAACTAAAGTAACTGTTTGATACGCAGTAGTTTTTCACTTCTTCAAAGCTCTGTAAAGAGCTTTCTTATATTTCTGAGTATTGTTTCTGTTTGTATGCATATGTAAGTCAAGCTTATTTAATATTCTTTGAAGTATAGCATTGTTTGTTACGTACGGAACCATCAGTATTTTTTATTGTAAACATAATTAATATGATTTCTGTCTGCATGTGCTAACAATCATCATGATAAGAACGACAGACAAAACTGACCATTTTTTTCTCCAGCTAAAAATGCGGAAGCCAGGCTCTTGTTTATATATATATATATATTTTTTTTTCTCCCTCTTTATTAGATCTGATCCATTTTATTTCAAAGAAAATGTGTAAGGAACATGTTCAAGACTCGGCATTGTCACTATCAGAGGATGATTCTGCTCCAGTTCCAAGGTTATTGATTCAATTGATTTCGGCTCCTCTAGCTGGAATTTCATCTGCTATTATTGTTAATCCTCTTGATGTTGTTCGTGTACGAATGCAGGTGAGTTTGTTTTTTCTCATAGTACAATTTTTCACGTTATATAAGTCATTTTTCGGACTAAATTTTCTTTAAATTTTGTAGAAAATATTTTCAGTATTTTTACTTATCATTTCTGTCCAATCGTTCCTATGATATAATCAGATACTAAATTATTGTGTCTGATTGCACATCAAATATATTTTTATCATTTCGCAAAAGGTTATTTGATTTTTGTTAGTGTATGCAGTCGTCCGTGTCTGTCACTGATATGCCAGTTTCCTGTACACTATCTAAGCCACATTTTCAACCAAAAGTGTTTGTATGTTTCCTCAGAAAGTTGAGTCGAATCTTCACCTTTCCCTACTGAGAAATAAGTCTAGATTTTTTTTATTAGACTGAAGGAAATGAGGTAGTAGTGTGGGGACAAGGTACACCAATTTTACTTTTATAAGTTACTAACTATTGAAATATTCGTAAGCTTATTGATAATTTTCATGACCTAGGTTCGAGTCCCGCAGGGTGCGAGATCGTGGATGCGCACTGCTAAGGAGTCCCATACCATGACGAAACGGCCGTCCAGTGCTTCCAGGTTTTCCATGGTGGTCTAGCTTCAATTGACTCATGATTTCAACCAGTGAAATTTCTAAAAATCTCCACGAAACCCATTCTGATAATAAAATAAAGAAGTCTATTCTTTACCAAAAACCCAAATAAAGTATAAACATTTGAGTTACATTTCATTTTGTTTATCATTTTGTACATACATGTATGTATGAACACATAAGAGGAGTTAGTCGTGATGCACTAGTAAAGTTGGGTGAAGATAGTTAACTATCCACCTTAGATCATGGGGTTAATCTAAACTCACCCTTCGTAGTTTTGTACTAGGCGAATATTAGAATGTATTGAACCATTAACCATGCGAAAATTCATAGCACTGTTGTGTACTTAAAAAATTAGTTTTTATGTAACCTAAGCATATCCTGACGATGTTGGCTTCGATTTTGTAGATCATGAGTACTGTAATTCATATTTTTTTTGCTTGAACATATACTTCTATTTTTCCAGATTGACCTGTCACATTTACATATAAGTATACTAAAAGGTTAATGTATGATTAGACTGTTTAGAATGCCATCGAACTCCTTATATCATATAGTGCTTATAACAGACCTAAATTTATAGAAAAAACAAGTGGTTCTGAATAATATATTTGGTATTCATCTTCAATATTGTTAGGCTACTTTGGATAAATATATAATTAAGTCTCGATAATGCAATGAGAAGACGTAGTTTATCAGAATTATGTGATATATTTGCGCAATACATTTCGAACAATCTGATCACACATATACTTGTTAAGAACATTTATATATGAAAATTATAAGGTCAACTTGACAGGTTAAGGGTAAGTTAAAGTACACAAAAACAAATGTGATTACCACTCTGGATAATAAATCAGTATTACCAGGGTAGGTTAAGTGTAAGGACAAATTGTTTTTGAACACATAAAGGGGGTTTCAATTTCCGTATAGCTAAGGCTTCAAAAAGCTTTAGTATACGTCCTTGAAGGCTTTTGTATGACACTACAAATGCTGATTTGACGTCAACCTTATGACCCGTCTCAATCAAGTGTTTCGCAATGGAGGATGATGTCTGTCTATCCTGTGATCTTATTTGACCATTGGAATCCATTTGTTTCTGCAACTATTTTAGTATGTGTTCACCCACCCCTTAATTGCAAATCACGATTGCTCCTCCCCATGTACGTGTTTACACACCTACATGTAAATTGATAGACACAATCGCATTCGTGCTGTTTGGGCTTTTGGTGAAACATAGACCTTGTCTTTTCGATAATGACAAGGCAGGCTGCATAAAATGTCCGGTTGAAAGCTAATTTAAGTCTCCATTTCAACATGAGACTGTTTGTGGATTACCAAAAATTCGTAAGCCTAATACCCCCCTACATCCAATTCTATCAATGTGTCGGTCGGATGTGCTCACTGCTACTGCTTCAGCCGTTTGAAGGACTTTCAGTTTGACCAGTTTTGGCAAAAAATTACTGACCTTATGAATAATCGAGAAAAGATTGGTTTATACTGGCACTATGACCGGTTTGTACTAAATGGGCCAATATTGAGCTGTTCACTTTCTTCATCAAACCTTTGTTTAGCCACCCTGGAAGGTGTTCACGACCACAAAAATGTAAATTCCTAGAAATTCAACCAATAAAACTCGCTCCACAGGAGCAGTCGAACTGATAAATACATCTTGAGGTGGTCATTCTAGGTAATTCATCTTTTAGCCTCGGTGTAACCATTGGGCGCGTAGAAAATACTAATCGCAGTTCTCCGGCGTTAAAGGACTGTTGTATTGTCCTACGTAATCTCTGAGTTACTATTTCACTGGTCGCATCCCCTCTGAATTGTAGACGCATGAACAGGAATTTCTTCTTCACTGCTTGTATTTCGCCTTCATGACGATATATTTAATTATAAACGTTCTAGGGTAGCCGTTCTCCTGAGAGTATTATGCAAGGTGTTAAGCTCTTGTAAAACTATATCAGCAGAACATATAGTGCGTATACGGTAACTAAGGATTTTGATCAAGTTTCGTTTGTACTGTAGAGGTACAAAGCTCAGGAAATTCGTATACTGCCCAGTCCATGTACTTTTTCTGTTTAGGTTCCTTTTTAACGATCCATCCGCTCTTTTAGTCAAGAGAACGTCCAAAAAGGCTATTCGGCCATCACTCTCTTCTTCAGATGTAAACTGAATGGCTGGATGCACTCCATTAATAATTTATATTCTGAAAAATAATAATTACAGAATTCACGCCAGTTTACAGGCATGATCAATTTGATATAAATAATAACATTAGACGTGCAGAACAAACATGTGATAAAAGAAAGTTTTAAGTATACTAGTTCAGTAAGTGTTTAAGTAGTACATATATTACAGCGATCCAATGCATCAGCCGGGAGTTTCTATTATTAATTAAATAGACAGCCTGTTGATTTATGAACGGTGTAATTAAGGTCAATTCGTGTGCCAGATCGAAATAATGATAATTATCTACAACTAGAGAAATTAAAACGAAAACAGAGAGCACGGAAAAACAAAGCAGTAATTACCAAAATTTATCAATCAGGTCTACCTAAATGCGTGTGTCATATGACACAGTGATATACTGTTTATGTTATGACAGGTTTTTTGAATGGGTGGGTTATAAGAGAGATAGATAGGGAGAGCCCAAACTACTATCTTATGGTCACTGCTTTCAAATTCATCATATACTTTTACAGATAATGGGGTAACATCTCAACTAAATATTAGATCAAGTATACTATCGCCTCTAGTTGGGATACGAACCCACTGTGACCAGCAGTGCATGTTAATGGTTGCCGAGAACTCATCATTACATGACTGGCAACTACCGGTACTCCAGTTGATCCCAGGATAATTGAAATCCCCAGTGATAACCTTAGCATTAAAGTTTAGAGAAGATGCATGTTTGAATGCATTGATAATAAGATCATTCCCATTATTCGAACTATCAGGAGCTCTGTATATACATCCAAGGAGTAGACTATGATTCAGGGTGTTGACTGATATCCAGACTGATTCTGGTAAACTATTCAGGACAATACCTTCAACATTATTAGTTGTTGGGGTATCCAAAGCATATATAATGCAACCACCTCCTCGCCTAGTTTCTCTGTCGCAGCGATAGATTCGATAGTTCTGGATATTTAATTCTAAATTAGATACTGCTTGAGAGCACCATGTTTCAGTGATAAGTATGAAAGAAGGTCTGGTTAGAAAAGCTAATGTTCTCAAGGCTGAAATTTTGTTCAGAAGTGAACGTGCATTGATAAGTAATAAGTTCAAAAAGGGAGTGTGGAGTGTAAAAAAACCGAGAGCTTCCCTATTGATGTTATGTAGTTTGGATTTGCATAGACTGTGGTTTATTATGTTTGACTGATCGTATGGGCTATCGCTTGAACAAACTGTATTGCTAGTGGGACCAGGGATTTCTGAAGGCCAAAAAAATCATTATTTTGATAAAGTGGGTTAATTTGTTGAACTTGATTAGGCGGACAGTTAAGACAGGCACCTGCCAGTTGGGGTTGGGTTGATGGTGCGTAACCTAGTAATCCATCTTGCCCAATGGGAAAGTGTTGAGAATAGTTACGTCTTACAGGTATGTTATTTAAAACGTTTGAGGATAACCGTAGGGTGCGTTGGTTCATTGTGGTCTGTCCAATATTAGGCCTGCTTACATAATGATTGCAGTGGCCATCTTATGAGACATTTGAACCAAGTCTGCCCTTATAACCTCCCCTACGATGCGTAAGGTAAAGCATGGTGTCGGGAAGTACAGTCTTATTTTTATTTGGTAGGGTCATCGTAGTATTTTCGATATTGGGTCTAGAACCAGAAGGTTCTGTACTTACATTCTTCTTACGTGGCAAAGGTATTTTAATCTTGACAGCGTTTTTAAGAGTTGTAGCATTAGAACTAAGTACTTGTTTATGGGCTTCTAATGGTAAACTGGGTAATATCGGATTAGTGACATCATTAGATATACATTGGCTAACAGATGTCACTACAGATATAACAGGCAAATTAGCATTCTTTGTTGGTATATCAGAGTACTGGAGAACATGAGATAGGGTAGCTGCATCAGTGGATCCAACAGCTGATGCATCGTGGTTTGTTATGATCTCAACACCTTTATTTTCGTTCAAGGTACGTTTTTGCGTAAGCCTTTGATTGGTGGTCTAATCTGAGACTATACGAGCGTTTCTAAATTTCGTAAGCGCGCAGATTAGTCGCTCGGATTCTTTTAACCGTTCAGCTAATATATGAGATTCGAATCTGAACAAGACCGGGCACGAGTATTTCTGGTGCTTTTTATTAAGTCGAATGCATTGGCATGGACTGTCTTGAAGGTTAGATGCTTTTAATATCGAATTCCTTACAGTTTTAAATCGCCTAAGAACCTCTTGCGGCAACGTATTACCTTTACAGAGGATGAACGTGTCATCCATGTATCTACAGTAAAATGTGAAGTTTTGAACAATCTTTTTTAGTAGACCATTTTCTAGTTTGGCTAGAAAAATATCAGCTAGTATAGGGCCTAGTGGTGAACCCATTGCAACACCATCTGTTTGTCTATATATTTCACCGTTGAACTTGAAATTCACATTCATGGTGCATTTGAGTAATAACTCTTTCACGACATTGATAGGAACAGTAGTTTCAATTTCATTTTCAATCAGCTGTTCACCTATATATTCTACAGTCTCTATGAGTGGGACGTTTGTGAATAACGATGTTACATCCAATGACATCATCTTTGATCCCAACGTATTTACATTTTTTATTTTATCAACAAATTGGAACACATCCTTAACACTATATTTTACAAGCTTTTCGTGTAGAGGTTTCAATACAGTTACCAACCATTTAGCTATAGTATGGTAAGGAGAGTTATACATATATAGAATAGGTCTTAATGGGATCCCCGGTTTGTGTACCTTTGGCAATCCATACAATCTCGGCAGATAGGTTCCCATTGGTTTAATCATTTCATATAAACCCGATGAGATAGCTTATTGGTCTCTGAGTTTTTTCAAAGATCTGGTAAGCTCATTCGCTATCTTATTACTCAAATCTTTCCGGTCAGTTATTTTTTGAAACTTTAATTTGTCATTTATGATTGTACTCATTTTTTTTCAATATAATCACTTTTATTAAGAAGAACAACACCTGAACCTTTGTCAGGTTTCGTAACCAGTAACGTCTCATCCTTAAGAAGTAGGTTGATAGCTTCTTTGTGCTTCTTCGTAAGAATGCTTTTGTAACTAAATTTATTGTTCTTATATTGGTAACAGCAGTCTACAAGAGTTGATTTAAAATGTTCTAATTGCTGATCAGAATTCACAACTAGATCACGTGTCTGACTATAAAGATTCTCGAACTGTATATCTGTATCGATGCGGTTACAGTTATTACGAGTATCACAAAATTTTAGACCTAGGGATAATACCTCTAGTTTTTCTTTATCTAGTTCGACACTTGAGAAATTATGTACATATCTTTTAGAGTTCGTTGGGAATTTGCTTTCGGCCGTTTGGTTTTCCAGACCCTTCAGTAGTTGGATGAGTTTCTTCCGTGATCTCTGATCCATAAGGTTTGTAACATAGTCCATAAAAGGTATTTTCAAATCATCAGTTAAGTCATCTACTGCATACTTTCTGAGAAAAACGTTCATCTGTATCTCGTTTATGTCTGAATGCAAGGCGTCAATCTGGTTTAGGGAGTGACGTTTCAGTGTTTTTCTATTGGGGTAGACCCCGTTTCGTCTAAGTGATGTATAGTACAATTTAGGATAATGACCTGACTCGATGCACCTATTGATAAATTCAATAGTAGTTTTCGTTTTAGTGAACTTTACGTTATACTTCAGGAACTCATTGAGCACCTTCAACGCAATGGGTTGTCCACAACATTTTAATCTTTTAAAGATCCCCGTCATATTAAAAGACTAGTATTTGAACGAAGAATATTCTTTTCGATAAATTCTCTTCAGGTTCTACAATTATATATCCAAATTAATAATCCAAAAAATGGCCAGGTTAAGGGCAAAGTACATCGTTTAAAATTTTCATTAAGCGACCGGCAATTTTTGTATTTTTTTTCATCCCCAATTCCAATATTTTTCATCCCGTTTCGTCCAATAAAATGGGTAGTTTTAAATTCGTTTTAATTGGTTAGTTATGTCTTGAAGTTGTTATAAATTATCAATATTTGTCGACGAAGTACATTTTAATCATCATTATGGAGGAGAGTAACGTGCTGAGTGCAAGCGCTGTTGTTTCTCACGTCACGGAAGCAGAGAAAGCATTTTTGACAACATTGCTTACAATTCTTATGGAAAAGGTCTGACTGATCAACTGATTGAAACGCAAAGAGAAACAATGTTGTCAAAAATGCTTTCTCTGCTTCCGTGACGTGAGAAACAACAGCGCTTGCACTCAGCACGTTACTCTCCTCCATAATGATGATTAAAATGTACTTCGTCGACAAATATTGATAATTTATAACAACTTCAAGACATAACTAACCAATTAAAACGAATTTAAAACTACCCATTTTATTGGACGAAACGGGATGAAAAATATTGGAATTGGGGATGAAAAAAAATACAAAAATTGCCGGTCGCTTAATGAAAATTTTAAACGATGTACTTTGCCCTTAACCTGGCCATTTTTTGGATTATTAATTTGGATATATAATTGTAGAACCTGAAGAGAATTTATCGAAAAGAATATTCTTCGTTCAAATACTAGTCTTTTAATATGACGGGGATCTTTAAAAGATTAAAATGTTGTGGACAACCCATTGCGTTGAAGGTGCTCAATGAGTTCCTGAAGTATAACGTAAAGTTCACTAAAACGAAAACTACTATTGAATTTATCAATAGGTGCATCGAGTCAGGTCATTATCCTAAATTGTACTATACATCACTTAGACGAAACGGGGTCTACCCCAATAGAAAAACACTGAAACGTCACTCCCTAAACCAGATTGACGCCTTGCATTCAGACATAAACGAGATACAGATGAACGTTTTTCTCAGAAAGTATGCAGTAGATGACTTAACTGATGATTTGAAAATACCTTTTATGGACTATGTTACAAACCTTATGGATCAGAGATCACGGAAGAAACTCATCCAACTACTGAAGGGTCTGGAAAACCAAACGGCCGAAAGCAAATTCCCAACGAACTCTAAAAGATATGTACATAATTTCTCAAGTGTCGAACTAGATAAAGAAAAACTAGAGGTATTATCCCTAGGTCTAAAATTTTGTGATACTCGTAATAACTGTAACCGCATCGATACAGATATACAGTTCGAGAATCTTTATAGTCAGACACGTGATCTAGTTGTGAATTCTGATCAGCAATTAGAACATTTTAAATCAACTCTTGTAGACTGCTGTTACCAATATAAGAACAATAAATTTAGTTACAAAAGCATTCTTACGAAGAAGCACAAAGAAGCTATCAACCTACTTCTTAAGGATGAGACGTTACTGGTTACGAAACCTGACAAAGGTTCAGGTGTTGTTCTTCTTAATAAAAGTGATTATATTGAAAAAAATGAGTACAATCATAAATGACAAATTAAAGTTTCAAAAAATAACTGACCGGAAAGATTTCAGTAATAAGATAGCGAATGAGCTTACCAGATCTTTGAAAAAACTCAGAGACCAATAAGCTATCTCATCGGGTTTATATGAAATGATTAAACCAATGGGAACCTATCTGCCGAGATTGTATGGATTGCCAAAGGTACACAAACCGGGGATCCCATTAAGACCTATTCTATATATGTATAACTCTCCTTACCATACTATAGCTAAATGGTTGGTAACTGTATTGAAACCTCTACACGAAAAGCTTGTAAAATATAGTGTTAAGGATGTGTTCCAATTTGTTGATAAAATAAAAAATGTAAATACGTTGGGATCAAAGATGATGTCATTGGATGTAACATCGTTATTCACAAACGTCCCACTCATAGAGACTGTAGAATATATAGGTGAACAGCTGATTGAAAATGAAATTGAAACTACTGTTCCTATCAATGTCGTGAAAGAGTTATTACTCAAATGCACCATGAATGTGAATTTCAAGTTCAACGGTGAAATATATAGACAAACAGATGGTGTTGCAATGGGTTCACCACTAGGCCCTATACTAGCTGATATTTTTCTAGCCAAACTAGAAAATGGTCTACTAAAAAAGATTGTTCAAAACTTCACATTTTACTGTAGATACATGGATGACACGTTCATCCTCTGTAAAGGTAATACGTTGCCGCAAGAGGTTCTTAGGCGATTTAAAACTGTAAGGAATTCGATATTAAAAGCATCTAACCTTCAAGACAGTCCATGCCAATGCATTCGACTTAATAAAAAGCACCAGAAATACTCGTGCCCGGTCTTGTTCAGATTCGATTCTCATATATTAGCTGAACGTTAAAAGAATCCGAGCAGCTAATCTGCGCGCTTACGAAATTTAGAAACGCTCGTATAGTCTCAGATTAGACCACCAATCAAAGGCTTACGCAAAAACGTACCTTGAACGAAAATAAAGGTGTTGAGATCATAACAAACCACGATGCATCAGCTGTTGGATCCACTGATGCAGCTACCCTATCTCATGTTCTCCAGTACTCTGATATACCAACAAAGAATGCTAATTTGCCTGTTATGTCTGTAATGACATCTGTTAGCCAATGTATATCTAATGATGTCACTAATCCGATATTACCCAGTTTACCATTAGAAGCCCATAAGCAAGGACTTAGTTCTAATGCTACAACTCTTAAAAACGCTGTCAAGATTAAAATACCTTTGCCACGTAAGAAGAATGTAAGTACAGAACCTTCTGGTTCTAGACCCAATATCGAAAATACTACGATGACCCTACCAAATAAAAATAAGACTGTACTTCCCGACACCATGCTTTACCTTACGCATCGTAGGGGAGGTTATAAGGGCAGACTTGGTTCAAATGTCTCATAAGATGGCCACTGCAATCATTATGTAAGCAGGCCTAATATTGGACAGACCACAATGAACCAACGCACCCTACGGTTATCCTCAAACGTTTTAAATAACATACCTGTAAGACGTAACTATTCTCAACACTTTCCCATTGGGCAAGATGGATTACTAGGTTACGCACCATCAACCCAACCCCAACTGGCAGGTGCCTGTCTTAACTGTCCGCCTAATCAAGTTCAACAAATTAACCCACTTTATCAAAATAATGATTTTTTTGGCCTTCAGAAATCCCTGGTCCCACTAGCAATACAGTTTGTTCAAGCGATAGCCCATACGATCAGTCAAACATAATAAACCACAGTCTATGCAAATCCAAACTACATAACATCAATAGGGAAGCTCTCGGTTTTTTTACACTCCACACTCCCTTTTTGAACTTATTACTTATCAATGCACGTTCACTTCTGAACAAAATTTCAGCCTTGAGAACATTAGCTTTTCTAGCCAAACCTTCTTTCATACTTATCACTGAAACATGGTGCTCTCAAGCAGTATCTAATTCAGAATTAAATATCCAGAACTATCGAATCTATCGCTGCGACAGAGAAACTAGGCGAGGAGGTGGTCGCATTATATATGCTTTGGATACCCCAACAACTAATAATGTTGAAGATATTGTCCTGAATAGTTTACCAGAATCAGTCTGGATATCAGTCAACACCCTGAATCATAGTCTACTCCTTGGATGTATATACAGAGCTCCTGATAGTTCGAATAATGGGAATGATCTTATTATCAATGCATTCAAACATGCATCTTCTCTAAACTTTAATGCTAAGGTTATCACTGGGGATTTCAATTATCCTGGGATTAACTGGAGTACCGGTAGTTGTCAGTCATGTAATGATGAGTTCTCGGCAACCATTAACATGCACTGCTGGTCACAGTGGGTTCGTACCCCCAACTAGAGGCGATAGTATACTTGATCTAATATTTAGTTGAGATGTTACCCCACTATCTGTAAAAGTATATGATGAATTTGAAAGCAGTGACCATAAGACAGTAGTTTGTGCTCTTCCTATCTATCTCTCTTATAACCCACCCATTCAAAAAACCTGTCATAACATAAACAGTATATCACTGTGTCATATCACACACGCATTTAGGTAGACCTGATTGATAAATTTTGGTAATTACTTTTTTGTTGTTCCGTGCTCTCTGTTTTCGTTTTAATTTCTCTAGTTGTAGATAATTATCATTATTTCGATCTGGCACACGAATTGACCTTAATTACACCGTTTATAAATCAACAGGCTGTCCATTTAAGAAATAATAGAAACTCCCGGCTGATGCATCGGATCGCTGTAATCCATGTACTACTTAAACACTTACTGAACTAGTATACTTAAAACTTTCTTTTATCACATGTTTGTTCTGCACGTCTAATGTTATTATTTATATCAAATTGATCATGCCTGTAAACTGGCGTGAATTCTGTAATTATTATTTTTCAGAATATAAATTATTAATGGAGTGCATCCAGCCATTCAGTTTACATCTGAAGAAGAGAGTGATGGCCGAATAGCCTTTTTGGACGTTCTCTTGACTAAAAGAGCGGATGGATCGTTAAAAAGGAACCTAAACAGAAAAAGTACATGGACTGGGCAGTATACGAATTTCCTGAGCTTTGTACCTCTACAGTACAAACGAAACTTGATCAAAATCCTTAGTTACCGTATACGCACTATATGTTCTGCTGATATAGTTTTACAAGAGCTTAACACCTTGCATAATACTCTCAGGAGAACGGCTACCCTAGAACGTTTATAATTAAATATATCGTCATGAAGGCGAAATACAAGCAGTGAAGAAGAAATTCCTGTTCATGCGTCTACAATTCAGAGGGGATGCGACCAGTGAAATACTAACTCAGAGATTACGTAGGATAATACAACAGTCCTTTAACGCCGGAGAACTGTGATTAGTATTTTCTACGCGCCCAATGGTTACACCGAGGCTAAAAGATGAATTACCTAGAATGACCACCTCAATTTGTATTTATCAGTTCGACTGTTCTTGTGGAGCGCTTCTATTTTTTTTATCTAAATAATCATAACAACTAATGTATAGTTGAAAACGTCTAATAAGAATGTTTT